GAGAGAGAGAGAGAGAGAGAGAGAGAGAGAGTTTTGATTGGATTTGTTGCTATTTTGTACTCAAAATCTTGTGATGTTTTCTTAATTATCGTCGACAGAGAAAAACCACAAAACTATGGAAACAATTATAGTATTAGTGATAATAATAATAAAAAACCGCATCAAAAAACTTTGGGCCACAACAACAACAACAAAAAACACATCACAAACACATCAGTGTTTGTGTCCAAACATTCGGGTTATAGTGTATAACAACTACACTATTATTATAAGTCATTGTCCATAATGTGCGGCCGGTATTGAGTGCCCGGACGGCGGGCGACTCAACCGATAAACTGATGCTCAGTCTTGCGGTGAAAATAGAGATTGAAAAATGTCTTAAAACTTTTATTACAATTCTGTTCGGAACACGTGGTCAGAGCCTTATCGTCGACTACAGGCGCGGCCACCCCTTCAGCCCCACTGGCCATCACAGGGGCCGCAGCGCCAGCACTACTGGCTATATGGGCGGCCACCACATGGGTCTTGAGGTCATAAATACTGTCATAAGACTTGTTGCACATATGATAATAGCATTTAAACCGCTTTGGGGGCTGCGATGGGCCAAAGTCCAGGTGCTGTCGTCGGCGGTGTTGCAGTAAATGTGTTTTTTGGGTAAACTTTTTGCCACAATTCTGGTAATCGCACGAAAACGGTTTCAAACCCAAGTGTACGGTATTCTTGTGGCGCTTGAGATTCACCTTCTTGTTGAACATCTGGTCACAGGCCGGGTAGTCGCACGAGTAGAGTGTCTGATTCAGGTGCACCACCGACTTGTGTTGGATGAGCTGCGTTTTCAGCCCAAACAGTTTGCCACACCCGGTGTACTCGCACCGGAACTTACTGTCACCGCCGCGTGTCCTACCGGTGACCACCACCGGCACCGCCGACGACTGGCCGTTCGCCCGCAGTGTTACAGCATTAGTAGTGTTTGTGACGGTAGGGGTTAGGGTAGCGGTGGTGCGGTTCGCACCTACGGCTGTGCCAATACCGGCCGCTGCCCACCGATTAACGGCCGGACTCTTATGGGCGGTCACACCTCCACCCCCTGCGCCGGTGGCGCCCCCGGAGTCGGACTTCACGGCGAACACACTGTCACTACTGTTGCTACGGCTGTCGGCGCTGTGCAGCGCGTGTAACGCCAGCGACGACGGTATGTGGTGTTTATGGCACTCGTTATTACTGTTTGTATTACTATTATTACTATTAAACACATTGCTATCATTACTAGACTCTGGCCCGTCGGCGACGTCCCGGTGAACGATACCGTCGGCGTCCGACATAACGTTGCGTGCGTTTGCGTTGGCACTATTACCACGTGCTTTACCAAGTGGTTTGCCGGCTGGTGACCGATGACTGGCCCGGTGTTTGACCAGGTTGGTTTTATACTTGAACACTTTGTCGCAGCCCTTGACAGTGCAGCAAAACTGTTTGCACTTATAGTGTACCGAATAGTGTTGCTTAAGTGAGTCGCGCGCTCTGGTCTTGAACTCGCATTTCGGCCAAAAACACTTCAACTGTGACTTGAGTTCGCGATTATTACTGCTGTCACTCGTATTGTAATTATTAATGACGCTATTATTGACACTAATTTTGCACACTTTGGCCTCAATAGGCGTACCGGCGGTTGTGGTTATGGCTCGAGTAGTGTTGCCAACAGTTGAGGTCATAATTATGTGGTGATGAGTCACCCGTTGCCGATAGGCCTCCAGTCGACGGCACAACTGAGTCAGGCGTGTCAGTTGGCGCAGGTGTTTGCGGTGCCGTTGAATGCGGTAAGGTGATTTATTATTAATATTACAATTATTATTGTGATTAAGGTGACTTTTTATCGCTTGGTAATGGCCACGGTCAGTCGCTGTCGTAACGCTGGGCACCATGTTGTCTCATAGTTGACCGCCTGTTTATCGCGCATAATTATTGTTACGTCTAATTAGTAATGATTAATCATTTATTAATTTATTAAAATCGAGGTTATTTTGATTATCGATTTTTACATACATTTGTATTATTTATTTTTTTGTTATGTTTTTTGTGTTGTCTATTGAAAGCCGTTATACACAGAAAGTGACATACAATAAATTACATGTGGTTACTCTACAGTGTATACGTTCACTATTATTAGTTTGGTTATTGACCCCCCTATGTATTGAATATTATATCAGCTATGTAAATTAAAATTATAATTAATGTGTTGCGTTCTATATAGATGTTTTTAATTAACATAATATAATTAATAACATGTATTTATTTAGTGATCATGATGTTTTTGTGTTTTATAAACTCTATGTAATTTAATTAAATAATTATTCCCCCAAACAATAGGTGCCTTAATTCTTGACGTTTTAGATGTATGTCTATGTCTAACAATAAACTTCATTCACAAGTAACGTTGTGTAGAGTACAGGCTATGCTCGTTATAAGTAACAATTAATTAATGTAAATAAATATAGTTTTGTGTTATCTAGGTGATTGTTAGTTAATAATTATAAAATATATAGCGATTTATGATTAGATTGTTAATATATTAGCATGGTAAAAGTTTAATCCTGTTAATAAATAGTATTTTAATAGTGTATGTGCTATACATATAACGCTTACGACTGTACTCTACATGTATTATAGCATTGAGTTATGTATTGAATGAAAACTACAAATAATTTAGATATTTATTTATTGCATTAAAAAGTTATAATTTTTTATAAAACTTTTAATTTGTATTAAAAGTTGTTTTTGTTTAAAAAAAATGCAAATAATGTGTAAAATTACTTATAAATTGTTGTAAATTTTATTGTTATTAAAAGTGGTTACCAATAAAGGCATGGCTTTTGTTTGTGATGTTGAAAAATAGCGGCAAAACTTACCATAAGTTTCTGTATTAGAATTTTATTGTCTCCGATATTTTGTGAAGTTTTTTAATTATAAAGTTTTTGAGTATTTTTTAAAGTTTTTACTTATAATTTAGTTTTTATTGTTTAAAATGTGTTCAAAAGTAATGAATGTTTCGTTGATTGAAATGAAGAGTAAATTCAATGCAATGAAGAGTTTG